AAATGTCTTGTGGGAAAGTCAGTAGTTTGAAGCAGTTGCATTAGGCGGGGCTGCGTAGCCTAGCTACGGGGAGTGGGATGCCTGTGCAGCAGCAGTAGCGTCACTCGGGAGCTTGTCTGAAAGGCAGAATATGGGGCCCCATCCCTGACTTGCTGGATCAGAATCCGCATTTTAGTAAGATTCTGATAACTGTGTTCACAATAAGTTTAAAAAGTGAGCTCCAGGAAGTCGTAGGCATTTCCATAGGGCTCCCCAGGAAAATGTCATGGTAGGGAAGAGGGACACAAAGCTACTGTCTACACACAGGATCTAAGTCACTTTGACCCAGGAAAGCAGCCTCAATTCACAACCCAGCAGCAGAGCTTCAGACGAGGGTCTCTGCCTGCAGCACTCCATAGCTGCCTCAGCGTTGTGGGGCCAAAGGAAACAGGACCTTGGGCTGGCTTTGCAGTCCAGACCCTGACAGCCCTAGCTTGCTTCAAGCCCATTAAAATAGCATTGTGCTTGCATTTCATCCAGACTTTACCCGTTTACAGAACTCTCTAGCGACTCTAGGCTTTCCTGTGTTTGGTGAGGTGACCTGTATTTCACCTTCTGGGTGACCTCTCATATACCTGACTTCATCAGACCATGAGTAGCTGCTGGTGGTTATAGGTTGACTAGGTTTGGGAAACAAAAATGTTTTAAGTATGATAGCTTTCTTTCCTATAATAATCCTACCATGCAAATTGGTTCATAACGAGAGATCTTCTCACTTATTCTCTTTCCCCGACCAAATGTCTCATGGGAAAGTCAGTAGTTTGAAGCAGTTGCATTAGGCGGGGCTGCGTAGCCTAGCTATGGGGAGTGGGATGCTGTGCAGCAGCAGTAGCATCACTCGGGAGCTTGTCTGAAAGGCAGAACATGGGCCCCATCCCTGACTTGCTGGATCAGAATCCGCATTTTAGTAAGATTCTGATAACTGTGTTCACAATAAGTTTAAAAAGTGAGCTCCAGGAAGTCATAGGTATTTCCATAGGGCTCCCCAGGAAAATGTCATGGTAGGGAAGAGGGACACAAAGCTACTGGCCTTTCCCTTATAAAAGCCGTCCTGTAACATATTTTTCTGTGAGTTTCCGTTTTCTGCAAATGCTCCTTAAAGGAAGAAACATTGGAAAACCACTCTCATAGCCCTATTAACACTTCATGGTGACTGAGCTCATCCCGTTGTTTGTGAGGGAACAGGTTTTGTTTGGGGATGAGTAGGGGAAGGGAGACTCCTACTAAGGAGAAGTTGGGAACTTGAACACAAAGTCCCCTCCCCAGTTTTGTCATTTGTCCATGCATGAAGATGGCTGCTGGCAGGAGATGCTAGTTCTTTTAGGCACATGCATCTGGGATTCTAGAATGGGCCTAAGTAACAAAATTGGAGGGTGGGTCCATCAGAGGCCTATTTGATAATTTCTTGAAAGAAGAAACATTCAGGAAGATAACTTTGACCAGGAAGAAAGCCTCGGTGCTCAGAGAGGAGAGTGACTTTGAGGACAACATGGTGGCTTTCCCTGGAATTAACTTCTGTCCTGAGCTCACAGATAAGAGAGAGACAGAGATAAGAAGGGGACGGGGCTGTATCTAAAAGTTGAATTAGCTTTAGCCCTTGACCTGGGTGATTATTGGGACACAAGAGCCCTTCTATTAGAATGTAACGTGGAGGGAGGAGAAACCTTCACGTGCCCACAGAACACTCACCCCTTTCATGAGGATTGCCCTTTGCAGTGATGCGGAGCTGGGATGAGCAGTACCAACTGGGCCAGCAGCTGAGTCTGATGGAGAAGGGGCACCCAGGCCAGGGACTGTGTGGACATCAACATGAGAAAATAACAGTAGCCAGTAGGCAGGGCTGTGGAGTAGATGAGGAATGAAAAATTCAACAAGAGATTGTGTTGAGTCTCAAAATATAATAGCTTCCCACACCCTTTCTCAGCTCCTTTTAAGTAGCATCAGAAGCCAAGCTCCCCTGGGTAAATACCCTTTGCAGAGTTTGTGTTGACTTAATAGCTAAAAAACCGGGTCTTTCTGCTCTTGGGGAGAATGTCACGCAGTGCATTTCCCCTCAATTCTCTCGGTATTGTCAGTATTTCTCCAAGGAACACAGGAGGTGGAGGACTGGGACTTTCTGAACCTTCGTAACCACCTGGTGCTCAGCATATTCATGGCCCTTATCAAGCCCTTGTCCACCATTTGATTGGGTCACAAGCACTCATCCTTTCATTTAATTGTTTCTGAACATGTTTTAATAATTGCCATGCCCCGGGAATATAGAAATTGCCAAGATGTGCTTCTTATCTTCACAGCTTAAGAGATGAGTAATCTTATAGTCCAATTAAAAAATAATCATTGGTTCTAAATTATTGTTTCCTGCCATTTCCCTGTGCCAAAATAGAGACCAGTCTGCAGGCACATTTCCCCCCAAATAAAAGAATACAATTTAACAGTAGCTGAGCAGTTGTGTTGAGGCAAAGATGTTTTTCTTAATCATTTCTCAGCAAACCCTAGGCGGTCAAGCTTACACATTCCTATGGGGAACAGAGTGTGAGTGGAGAACAGCACTCTTCCAAGAAATGTCTCAGGCACTGCCAGCACTGGCCTCTCCCCACCCCGTCTTCCTGGCACTGAGGGCACTCAATCCCACCATCTAGATTCTAGAATGTGATGTGGTTCACCTTGCTAAGTGGCTCCACATGGTTCTAGGAACACTTCTATCCACAGGACTAAAGGCTGAATATGGTAGAAGGTGCCTCGTTACATTTAAGTTCACTTTCTGCCTCTTGACTCCAGTGCAGCCATTATTAGGACACATTAGCAAGGTCATATATTGGCCCACATGTAGAGAGCCAATGTCAAAACCTCCCATCACATCACAGTAAGCCACAGTGTCACTTTCACTTCAAAGAACTATTTCCTCCAGTTCCAGATGATGTTTTCCCTCTCGATCTGGGATGCCCTATTGGATCATGTTTACACTGGGTGTAAAGGAAAAAGCAGTTTCATCAGAAACCCTGGAGGTGAGCTCCAATGGCATGTGGCATCTGAGCTTGCACAGTGTCCTTCACTCGTGTCCTGCCCACAGTGGCCCAGATTGTGGCCTGAATAGGGGAGGGACCTACTCTGTATTATATGTGGCCATGAACAAACTTTTCCCAATTATTCTTGGAATAATAGAAATTGTTCTTTTCTTCTCAGGCTTTAGGGAATAACTGTTCAGTTTTACTATCTGGGGATAAAGGTCATTGAGGATGAATTTATGTGTAGTTGGTTGAGGACAAAGTGGTGCCACCTACTAGCTCTAGTGAGAAACTAGCAAAGATGGATTTCATCCATTTTCCTAAAAAACATTTTAGAAATATCTGTAGTACTTAGCAGGCATTCAACAAATTTTTGCTGAATGAATGAAGAAATACATAATGGCTCTGAAGAAATGATAGCAATGGTATGTTAAGGAAAAATATGATTATGTGGAGCATTATTTATATAGACTCTTTCATAAATGTAAGATCATTACAGCTTTATAAATAGAAATCCTCTAATGTCATAAACCTACTAGTGTATATAATAAACAAAGCCTTTTGGAAGATTTATGTCCAAGTTCAACTTCAAATATAACCTTGGACCACACCTTTTCTTGCTGGATTATCTTTATAATACTATCACAATGCTTTTGTTTGTTTTAAGAATGATTTGAACATAGGATTTATTTGGTGAAATACAAAGGCAACTTTACTCCTGAAAAGTCTCATGTACTGTGCATGATTGAGATTCAGCAAAAGTTGACTTCTTCACCCTAAGCTTTTACCTCAAGATGGTGTTTTATAATATCAAGACTATCTATCTATCTATCTATCTATCATCTATCTATCTATCTATCTATCTATCTATCTATCATCTATCTATCTATCAAATGGCTAAGCGACTGTCCGACTGTCCGATATCTATCATCTATCTATCTATATATTTATCTATCTATCTATCTATCATCTATCTATCTATATATTTATCTATCTATCTATCTATCATCTATCTATCTATATATTTATCTATCTATCTATCTATCATCTATCTATCTATATATTTATCTATCTATCTATCTATCATCTATCTATCTATATATTTATCTATCTATCTATCTATCATCTATCTATCTATCTATCTATCTATCTATCTATCTATCTATCATCTATCTATCATCTAAATGGCTGCTAAGCGACCCGACCATCCAACTGGTAGCTATGACATGCAATGACCACCAGGGCTATGCTTTGACCAGTAGCTATGACGTGCACTGACCACCAGGGGGCAGACACTCAACACAGGAGCTGCAAAGGTGCGGTGACTTGGCAGGAGTTCTTGAGTGATGCACCCCAGAACCAGAGAGGAGGGAGCCCAATTCTGGGGTGCATCATCCAAGAACTGCCCTCTTGCAATCCGGGACCTGTTGGGGATGTTGAAGAGTTGGTTTTGGCCTGATCCCCGCAGGCCAGGCCGAGGGACCCCACCTGCCAGAGGGACCCCCACTCACTCCGCAGATGCCCTTCCAGCCGAGCGCCTCCCCTGGTGCTGCCGGCTGGGGAGGGACTGCGGGAGGTTGGCTCCAGGGCGTATCCGGCCCGTCTCACCCGTCTTGTCCCACCAGCCACCTTCTAATTAATTTCCTTTCAATGCGCATGAATCTGTGCACCGGGCACTAGTATTAATATAATATTGCTATATGACATTGGCTTTCTTGTGGTAATGTTAGAATCCAAGAGCATCAGAGTTCAGACACACCTGACTTTGATGTAATGAAAATGCTCATGGCCTTGCTTCTGTTGGTGGAGAATGTATTCTTTCACTGAGGAAATCCTAACACAGTGACTCATAATTTCTAAACAGAATTATATTTTCTGATATTCTGAGTCATGTCCTATTTAAGAGATCACACTTGTGCTTATAAATGAAGCACTGATCAATATGAAATAAAAATATAAGTAGAACTGGTACCAGGACTTTATTCAGCATTTCACTAGATACAAAGAAACTTTTTCTTACATTAAGAACATGATCTTATTTTTAAAAATCACATTTGCTAAACAGAATTGTTGGCATGTAGTTTCTTTACACCACATTTACCCAAGTATCAATGACCAGACCCTAAAAAGAGAAGGCACAGATCCATCTCCCTCTGGTGAATTTCTGGTATCCAGTGGAGGAAATGTCACCAGCTCTGCAAATCCCCGTCCTTTGGAAATGAAGCAAACCCACACAAATGTTGCAGGTGGGGCCATGGGGTGGAAATGCTGTATTATAGGATTGGAATTTTCTTACCACTTATGGGAATTTCAAGAGAGGAGGTAGGTACTAAAACTGTTCCAAAATTCCATCCACCTTCAGACCATGTCAAGGATTTGCTGTTGGGTACAACAGTATTTGAAAACTCTATTTTAGGAATTCCACCACGGTTTTATTCTCTGCAATGGGCCCAAGATCTCCCTGTTTTCACTCTGGGGATTCTTGGGTTTTCAATTCCTCAGAAAAAGTGCTGGTTGTTATAATTTGCTTTGGCAAGTCTCTTTGTTGAGTGCTAACATCATTGTCCTGGTCACCCATCCGCTGCCCAACCCCCACCCAATCTCCTGAGGAGGAGCCAACAGGACTGTGTCCATCTCTCAGACCCTCTCTCTTCTTCCAATAGTCAAGAAAGTGTGACCTCTCTCTCTTTTAAAAAAAGAAGAAAAAAGAAGAGGAGAGAGAGATTGAATTTTCAAAGAAATCCTGGTACTGAGTTAGAAGGTGACACCACTTTCCAGAGGCATTTTCCTGTGTGGGTGTTTTTGTTGTTGTTGTTGTCACAATTACTGGGGAATGTTATTTAAGGGCGTAATGGGAGACACTCTGCACCTCACAACAGGCCAGTGAAGGGAAATTTTGAAAGTGGTGGCGTTAAACTTAGAAAGGTACATACTTAATTATTTTATCTATTTTCGAGTTGGTCCTTCATAAAGTATTTGTGGGACTTGGCATGAATCAAGATTTTCCTTAATGGAGGGCATTAGGACTACTGATTTTCATGAGGTATCTTAACATGGGGATGTGGAAGGAGGTAGGATTTCACTCCTTTTAGGTAGCCCAGCTGAAAAAGAGAGCCAGGATGGATGGTGTTACTAGATAAAGGGGAAAAAATTACAGGACACCCAGTTAAATTTCAATTTCAGATAAATAGTGAATAATTTTTAAGTATGTCTCATGAAATATTTGGGACATTCTTATACTAAAAATAGTTATTGTTTATCCGAAAATCAATATCTCCTATGTTCTGGTACTAGAACTTTATTAGGTTTTCCACTGGATACAAAGAAACTTTGGGTGTTCTGCATTTTATCTGGCAACCCTAAATATGAAAAAAAAAGGTAATTGAGGATGAAGAAAGAGAGGAAATAAGAAGATTAATATTCCATACCCAGATCCCAGCCAAAGGAAGATTACAGATTTTTTGCTTTGAGCATGAGAACCTGTGCAGATCCTCGGATTAGACATGAGTTTCCTAATGTGAGACCACACGTAGGTAGATAGCAAAAGGGTGAGAGTGTCACATGCTTGTTTTTTGGAAAGGAAGCCACGTTGGGATCACTGAATGCTGACGGGTCTTGAGCGACCCTCAGGGAGCCACGGCAGTTCATCTTACTCGAGAAGATCCCATTTTAAAAAGTAAAGCTTTGGAGAAACAATTTTTCATGGGAAACTTATAAGCAAAATGGGTTCGATGCATAGAACAGCTTTAGAGGTGAGCCAGTTCTGTTGGTGATAGAAACAAATGGGAATTTAGTCTCATTGTATGAATACGAGCTTAATCAGTTAATGGATGTTTGCAACTTTTGAGAAGCATCAGGTGCTCCACAAGTTGTGGGAACTCAGGTAAGTTCTAAAGTACATTTCTCATATCATTTTTTTAAAAAGCCGTTTTTAACAAAGACATAATTTCTCTTTAAATTTTAATCCCAAATTGCAGCAACAACAACAAAATGGCAATGGATTAAGGCTGGTCATAATGTGCCCTTTTCTTTAGGATAACTTTGATTTTCTTTATAAGATATAATACATTTCCACACACATACCACATACCAGCAAATACTTTTGACTCATACAAATATATATTTAGAACTTATACCTAAAAATAGTCTCTCAAATGAAATAGAAATTACACAATTATCAACAGATTCAATCAACACATTTTACAAATTCTACAGAACACTTTATCATTGTCATTGGGGAAACAAACAATTTAGAGCATTATTTAAAACCGCATGTAACACAGGAGCCACCAATGAGTTATGGCAAATATAGCATTTACACCATTGTGTCACTAAAGTCTATTTGAAAAGACTAAAATGCTGTAAAATAAAATACTTTTAAAAAACCTTGTTTAGCATATCCTGAGGGACACTGTGCAACATTTTCTATGAGCAGTTCAAAGGGCGAGCATTCTACCTACAGAGCTCTTATTGAGTTGAGTGGCCAAAGGTTAGAAGATTTGTGTCATTGGATTTGAAAAACTGTAGAACTGAAAAAATCACAAAAACATGCATTTCCTGAAGCTTCCAACTTTCCAGACTAAAATTCTAACAGGGGAGAACCTGAACAGGTCAGAACCTCAAAGAACTTTAAACAACTTTAAGATGAGGACTTGTTTGTAATTTATATTCAAATCCCTGTTCCACTCTCTAGTTTGAAGTATAATTGACAGTGTAGTTAGACTGCTGGGCATTTCTTATTTATGACCTTCTCATTTTTCATTGTTTCCCTAGTGATTTTTTTTCTCTTGAATATTTAAATATTTGAATTATGTTTATGCCTACTCATGTAGGAGATGTCGATTTTAAGAGTTATAATGGCAATAGAATTAGGTTGAGTGATTAGAGTACAGTTTCAATTTGAATAATGTCTGTGTGTGTGTGTGTGTGTGTGTGTGTGTGTGTGTGTTTGCATGTGTGGAGACACACAGCATATACATGCCGAACGCTTTATGCACTAATACATTCACTGATAGGTGGCACTTCATGAAAGTGACTTTTCCCAATATGGCTGAAAGTGAATATTGAGGTCATCATACAGAATATCCTAAGGCCTTGAAACAATGCCTCCTCATTCTCTGCATTCACATGATTGTGTAGTAATAAGGGAGACATAAATGATAATGGCAGGAGCATCCCATTTTGGTTCTTCAAAATTACAGACAGGAGAGCAAACCAAAAATGACTCTCTTTGCATAAGTTCCCTCATCCATCCCACCCACTCCTTTGACTTCCTGCTGTAGATTAGATGGAAGTTGCATTTTGTTTCTGTATTTTTTGCCTTGCAGAATTTGTGACATAAAGTCTCAAGAAACAAGCAGAACACAAAGTACACCAAGATGTATCGCCTATCATCTTGGGGCCTCTTTGTAGCCCTTTACTCGTAGCTTGTCTAGAAAGACACTGCCCAGCTAAGACAAAGAAGCACAGGCTGAGGGTAAGTTCTGATTGCATATCACTAGCCCTCCCCCCGCCCTCCCCCCCTCCCCCAGCATGCTCCCTAAGTGCTCAGGGCAGGGCCAATAAAGGGAAGACAGCCAAAGGCACCTTCTCCCCACCCCCCTCTTTCAAAGAAATCCCTTCTAGTGGACTCTCTACCCAGTTGGAAGACCACAGTTCACTTCTATCTGCTCCCTCCTTTAGAAATTAAGGCAAGTCCCTTTTCTCTCAGTGCCTGCTACATAGCATTGTGTCCACCTGGAAACAGTAACAGTGGCTTGAAGATACCTTTTGTCAACCAAAGGCACCTTCTCCCCACCCCCCTCTTTCAAAGAAATCCCTTCTAGTGGACTCTCTACCCAGTTGGAAGACCACAGTTCACTTCTATCTGCTCCCTCCTTTAGAAATTAAGGCAAGTCCCTTTTCTCTCAGTGCCTGCTACATAGCATTGTGTCCACCTGGAAACAGTAACAGTGGCTTGAAGATACCTTTTGTCAAATATATCATTAGTAGCAATAGAGAACTTTCTCCAGTTAAGAAATTGCACAGTCTAATCCTTCAGCAGGTGTTTTTTTTTTCCAGCACCAAAATGACAAAAACAGCAAAGCTTACTCTAAGCAAACTTTATAGGAAAGCATCTAACTTCAAGAAAATACATCATTACCTCTATTTTACTAATTTTCATGAATATGTTGAAAGATCTGTTTCCTGTCATATTTATAAGTTAGATCCTGTGTCATTTCAAGTGTGCTTGGCTAAAGATCTTCCTGAGGGATGAACAATGAATAGTCAGAGAGAAAACTTGCCCCAAAAGCAAATTTACAGGACATAAATTTCAATAATCCATAGTCCTTGAAAAAGGATTCATATTCAATTGCACGTAAGGAACAGGTGAAAGTCACAGGAAGACAATACAACTGCAAAGCAGAAAGAAAACTATATTTGCAAATAATTAAGTCCCAAGCTGGATTATCTTTACAAAAATATTTGAATATGATCAGCTACTCTACTTTCAAAGGTCTTATCATTCTTTTTTATACATTGTTAAGGGTTTCACAGTCTTACAATTAAATTATTTTATATTATCAATATTTTCACTTGAAAAAAAGAATTTGATTGTGTCTGTCCATGCCTGTGTTTGTGTGTATTTTAATCTCTCTGCATAGGAGTGGGTGTGTATTGATATATTGTGTAGGGAAAAACATACACAAGTGGAATGTAGATCAGATCTGCTGCGTGTATTTGCATGGTACTTGGTCTATCACATCTACTTACATACTTCTCATAATCATTCTCTTCAGTACAAACAATTTATCTTTCCTGCAATTGCTAATAAATACTATTTTCTGATAATGAATATTTATAACCATGTGAACAACTCTTCATTATTTATAATCTGGACCTACATAATCCTAGAATCAACTCCCTTACCTAGGTCTCAGAGATTTAACCACATGCCTTACATTTAGATTAATTAGAAGCTGAGAGAACGCTTCTATTTCTATGGGCTGTGTTTTCCCAGGAAACGATTGATGCATGATTATTTCTAAACATTTAGATACAATAATTCATAATCCTAAGAATTTCAGCAAATTTTATAAATTTTTATAAATGCTTCACTATATTCCTGTGAGGCATGTAAAGTTTATTGTGCTCTTTTAAGACGATTTTAGCGTTGTCAGATATCATAAAGACAACAAGGAGAAAGCAATTCTCATAGTTGCATTATCTTTTTTCTTCTCTGCAGAAACGGACTGTCAAATGCTGGACACAGAAACTTTTATCTCTGTCTCATTCTCAACCCTAGGGGAGGACGGAACCCAGAGGGGTGAGTCTGTGTCAGTCTTCAGTAGAGTCTGCTCAGGTCACACATATTTGAGAATCTGCTAAAGATGGTTCATGGATTCTTGAAACTTCATGGACAGAGTTTCAAAAGCATTGCTTTGAGTCCTTCTGCCACCCTTCCTCCTTTTTCAACTTTAATTTTTTAAAAAAACCTCCAAGTAAAGCTTGAAATATGGTCCTCAAAATCTGGGATTTAGAATTACATATTTAGAAATCCTAATTTGATAGGAAAGCTAGAACAATCTTTCATTTCTTTCTTCTTCCTTTTCTCTCCCTACCCCTCAACCCCTTTTCAATCAAGAGAATTGTCAGGAGAGCTTTTGTAAGAGTTCTTTGCAGAGTTCTCTGATTTTAACACACTCTTCATTCATAATTTTTCATTTACTGGGCATCTGTAGGGCAATGTTACTAGGGGATTCTTGAATTAAATTAGCAACCATCTCTTCCCAGTCCCCCCATTTAAAGTTGGCACAAGTAGTTCTTCCAAAGAATTATTTACTCTATATTTATAGCTGCCTTAAATAGAAATACAGTGAAACACTATTATTTTTGTATGACACAAAAAATCACTGATTATGGCCTTCAATATTACTGATGCAGGGAAACTGTTTTGATGCATATTTTCTATGACAAAGAGTTAGCAATGATTGCCCAATTGCAGATGACAACAGAATATTATACCATGTCCCACACAACAAATAAATTTCACTACAACAATGCAATATACATTCTGTTGGGACAGTCAGTTGTTTTGAGTCCCATACAGCATCTGATTAAGAAGAGTGAGTAAGGGGGTGGGGTCAAAAGGTTCCGTTAGAAGATACAGAGAGCATAGCAGATCTAGGTTGAAATCAGAAACACAATCAAGTCAACACTTGTGAGTTATACATTACAAAGACTAATTCTGAAAAACAAATGTCACTGGTCTTTTTTTAAATCTCTAACACTAGAAGTAGATTTTGCTCATCAAATGGGAAATGAAATATTTATACTAATGCAGACTATGACAATAACCACTCAAGAAATGGATTTCCCCTTTTCCCACCCACTGCCAGCCCTAATTCCCTCACTCAGTGGAATAGGAAGATCAGAGTGTTTCTAGATAATATGCTTAATACAATGAGTCTTCTCTATCTTATTCATGAATGCTCAAAATGGTACTATCAAGTGTTGGCTTCTCCTTCATCAAAGACATAGTTGAGCTTTATGACAGTGCTGATGAAATCACCAAGTTCTACAAAATCGGCAGTGACAATATTGATGCCGCTCTCTCCTGGTTTCTGCGTGCTGACCCACTGCATCATGGCGGGAAGAGCCCTGAGAAAGGAAAGAAAAAGAGAAGTTGTGGGTTCTTGAGGTTAAAGCATGGAATGAAATACATGTGTATTTCCCTGGGTCTCAGGAAGTATATCTAGTCTATGAACTCAACCCACTGAGGCAAAACTGGGTCGATGGCCTTGAACTACATTAATCTTATGAGTAAAATACCATAAAAATTCTGATCCATATTTTCAGCATACACATTTTTTTCTGTTTTACACATAGAGAAGGATCCAGCTCCTTCTAAAGGAGCATATAATGGATCTAAAGTGCCCAGTGCCTTCAGAAAATAGACTGGCAGGTGGAGAAATCTGGTCCCTCATGGCAATAGTTTCAGAAGAGAATTCTATTAAAATGAAAAATCTGAATCCTTAGAGCAGAGACACAAGCATATTCAAGTCATTAGAAAGACAGATGCTGTGGCAATGTGTGTGCAGCCACTCGGGTTTGAAGTCCATTACTTTCTCTCTGGATTTGCTAGAGCAGATGACATATTCCTGTTGCAAATGTAGCATGATGTTGGCATTTTAGGAAAGGCAGATAGTCTTTGGAAAGAATGGCTGTTCAACAGATATGCTCAGGTTGAGAGGTGAGAGGAAGGGGTGGGTAGGAGTGATGCTGAGGCCAACGCTGATTCTGTATTAACCTTAACTGAGTATCTGGCTCATCAGTTCCTTAGGTGCTGGGGTACCAGGCCAGGGGAGGTTCCTGAGCAACCAAACTCCCACCTTAGAACCATGATCATCACAGAAACACCTCCTCAGATCCCTCTGCTACTCAAAGATTAGGGCTCCTGGGCCTGAATTGAAAACAATTAATTGTTATCCCCATGGAGAGACATTAGAACACAAGAGTGCTCTTCCGTGTTTCTAGATAAAATAGATTGCTTTGAGGATTGATGAAACATCCTCTTGGAATAGCTTGTAGTCCTCACATGAAATACAAGTTTTACAATTAAAATACCATTTCTCTTCACCACCGTATTGCCTGTGACCATGGGCTATGCATATAAGTTATTTGGTTTATCTCTTCTCGTTCCCTCAACCCAACATCAAGGTATGTCAGTCTGTTCCATGCCTCCCTGCTTCAGATCTCATTTTGGAGGAGGGTAAAGAAGTGTGTGTGTGGGGGGGGAGACATCTGTAATATCAACAATAAAAAATCTCCTACCCATAATGCTTCAATTACCTCTCAGTGCTTTTAGGATGAAAATAAAAATCCTTAATTAACCTATACGACCCTGAATAATGGCTATTAATTTCAGAGAGGTAGGGAGAGGGAGAGGGAGATAGAAACATCGATGATGAGAATCATTGACCAGCTGCCTCCTGCATGCCCCACACAGGGGATTGAGCCTACAACCTGGGTATGTGCCCTGGTTCATAGGTTGATGTTCAACCACTGAGCCATGCCGGCCGGGTGTAAATTTTTTATTTGCCCTCACAAGTTTTGCCCTGTTGGGGGCAACAGTGACATTGAGAATGCATGATTTAGAGCAAACTGACAAGTTGAAATTATACTTAGTTGTGATGTTTTTCTATCCAGCTTTCACAATTCCAGTCAAAGTCAGAAAGGGGGCTGGGGAATAAACTTGGTACACAAAGCCTCAAAGCCCTCCTCTGGAATGTGGAACTCACCTGAGGAAAGACATCTTCAAATAGATTCCAGGCTTCTTAGAAGAGAAACAACTAAGTCTACAGGAGTCAGAAAATCTCCCTCCAAGAAAGCAACAGGAGGTGAGAGATGTGGGAGCCAGAGATCTTCTAATGTTCTGGCTTTGAGAACTGGCTTTGAAAAGATTTAGGAGTTGGAAGTGCTGAGATCAGTAGCCCTCAATGTGCTGACCTTGACTGATTAATTCATGTCAGGGTCATGAGATTAATTCAGTCTCCTACCCAGAATGCTTCAATCACCTCTCAGTGCTTTTAGGATGAAAACAAAAAGCCTTAACTAACCTATAGGGCTCTGAATAATGGCTACCAGTGGCTTCTCTTGTGTTGTCTCCAGTCACTCTCTCTATTACCAAGTTCTAGTCACACCCCAGTCTTGCTCATCTTGAGCAGCCTAATTTTCCTCAGGGAACTTTGTAAATGCTGCTGTTATTTGTTTGCTTTGCTTTCTGTTTACTCATAAAGAGTGGTTTTCTTCCCCGCCCCTTCACTGGACCACTCACTCATCTTTCAGGTGATATTTTAAATGTCACTTCTTCAAAACACTAGTCAGAATTGTAATTACATTGATGTGTTTGACAGATATCTGTTCCTCAACTAGACTGCAATCTCTTCGAGCACTAGGCTGTGTACTTTCTCACCGGTGTATTCCCAGTCCTTAGCATAGTGCCTGGCACACTAAGCACTCAATGAATACATGTTGAATACATGAACAGGGTTTACTTTTAGAGACAAAAGCTTTATTTTCAGAATAGAATATATGCAGTAATATAATTCATGAAAAGGCTACTCTGTTTTCCTTACTGTGGCTACTGCCATAGATTTCTGTTTGTGAATTCACTGCTATTTGTTTGAAAAAAATGTTTGTTTGTTTTTAAACTAACTTGAAAAATATTAACTTTTCTATATTTGGCAGGTTTCACTTGCAAATTTTTGAATTCACCAAACAATTTGCAAAGCAACTTTCCCCACATTATACATCTAGTGCCAGGAGATTATGTGTTAATGATAATGATAGCATTTTCATCACTTTCATAAAAATAAAGTTTATTAGATTTAAACTTAATTCATCAGATGTATTTAATTTAGTTGTTATCAATGTATTATTAATTTTAATTATTAAATATCATTACATAATTTAATTATATTTACATGTATTAGACACTAATAAGGAATCCATGTGAAATTCATATTTAGGTGTGCCTGTGGTATACATAACACTTGTACAATGAATGCATTTTATATATGCTACTTTTCTAACTTCCTTACACTTACGTTTTGTAGTAATGAATAAACAATTGTAGATAATAAAACATCTTTTAGCAAATTTTATTTGAACGCACTTATTTGTTTTTTAAAATGTTTTTTAAATTGATTTTTGAGAGAGAGAGAGGGGAAGGGAGAAGGATAGAGAGATAGAAACATTGATGCAAGAGGGGAACATTGATCTGCTGCCTCCTACATACCCCCTACTGGGGATCGAGCTCAAAACCCAGGCATATGCCCTGACAGGGAATTGAACCAGTGACCTCTTGGTTCATAGGTTGACACTCAACCCCTGAGCCGCCCCCCCTGGGCTGAAAGCATTTTTTTTTTTTTTTTAGTGAATGAAATAGACTCTTCAAAATCAACTCATTAATTTTTACCGACCTCTTTGATGCACTGGGGATAAAGATGACTATGAAAGCATCAGAGCCTTGTTACTGCTTGTCCTAAACCCAGCCTCTCCTGCGAAGTGGAGACTTCATTGATCAACAAAGTTTAAAATAATGACCACAGATCTTTCTTAGCCCTGAACAACTGAGTCAGCCAGGAGCAACTAATTGAAACCAAACCTGACATATTTTAAAATGTGATTTCCTGTCAATCTGGCCATTTCTGAAAGTTGGGAACTTTCACCAGAAAATGAAGAAAAAGACAAAATGAAAAGGAACTCTTGTCCCAAAGATTGGCATTTCATGCACCGACGCATCCAGCAATAAAAAGCAGGGCCATTGCACCTGTAGGTTTAACCCTGGAGGGGCTTCACAATAACCTCAGGCAGACAGGCACATGATGTCAGAAATCATAATTTCTGTAAACCTAGCCTATCAGGTTTTGCTAACACTGTTTCTGTTCAGGAAGCGGTATATCTGATTCATGTCTGATGAAAAAAAGCTCATTTAAAAAATATATCTTTTTCCCCTCAAATTGCCCTTAGACAAAGAATTAAGTCATGAAATATCTGCAAAACAATGGCCTAGCCAGCAACTGTGGAGATTTTAGAAGACCTGCGCTCTCCTGAAAGGAAACTAAAGCCCCCCCCCCCGCAAGACTTCCTATGACCTGCGCCATGTGCTTTCAAAACTAAATCACTACAACTATTTAGGTGTAAAACAGAAAAAAATGAAAGGCGCCGGTGACCCTACAGTCAATCTGAATTTTCACTCTGTAGCTGTGAGAGAAAGAAATCCTCCTCTGCTTGACTTTCCCAGATTCTCTGCTCCAATCAAGTTCCAACTCCATGTGGAGCTTGATAAAGACATCTACTGAACACGTGTTTATAAGGCACCTCTCTGTGCTGCACAGTGTTCTGTGTGCTGAGGGCATGATGGAGTGCAGAAACAGATGAAGCCCTTGCCCTCCTGGTACCTGCAGTCCAAGAGGGGAGAGAGAAATGTATTAAAACAACCAAAACTCTCACATCAGCTTTATTGGTGCTGAGGGAGAATCTGGTCCCGACTGTAGCAATGGGTTTTATTTGTGATCCCGAGTCCCAATGTCCCCTAAAGTAAAATTAGGAATAATATCACTCAGAGGTGGACATGGCCACACAGAAGGCACTGATATCTGGGTATTATTCACATGTGAGGTTCAGAGTTCATCATAAAGGCTTGGCCACAGCCATGAGTGCAGACACGTCCCGGGAGTCACAGGAGCTGCTGTCCCACCAGGAATACTGGGCACAGGAATGACTAACCTTCGCCATCACCCTCACCATGCCAGCTGCTTTAGGTTGGCAAAGGGATACATTTCAAATCCTCAGGAGCCCACAGGCGCTGTTTCACCTCCTTCCCATGCCTGGCAGGCTGTTAGTCTATTTTATTTCTGTGTTTGTTTAACAAAAAGCAATGCAGTCAAATCAAAATGGAAACAAAAGACACTGTCCCTCTCCTTTGGTGGTGGCAACACGAGCCCTTTTGACTGAGGCATGGAAGAAAACCGTTAAAAATCCACTTTCAATTAAAATAAGATCACCTAAACTCCTGGAAAAATGGTGTTACCATTCATAAGATGTCCTGTGCCCTAGCACGCATTCTGTGCTCCCAGTCAATGTTGCAGAATAAG